GAACGCAGTTTGCCGATGCACCGGAACCGGAACGTTGCTCTCCTTGGACGACGCTTCCGTCCCAAGTGAGGGCGATGTCGACTACACTGTCACTTTGGCCGATGACTCTAGCATGTTCCTGGAAGCTGTTTGTAACTTTGCCTGCGACTATGGGCTGTGCATCTGCTACACTGGCTCCGACGACGAAGATGGAAGCGCCGAGCCTCCATGTGACTACTCCCTCACCTTCGACTCTCTTGAAGCTCTGGCCGCCGCAGCCGATGCTTACGAGCCCTACTGTGCCGGGATGTACGCTTTGGGTGTCTTATCGAACAACCATACCGCAACACTCTCCGAATTCAACGATGCCAACAACAACTATGACAGTCTCTTTGGCTACTACGTCAAGTATGTCAAGGGTCTGGTTGCGCCCAGTATCTGGAGTTTCATGAAGTCTGATGGCTACACCTACTTCACTTGCAACTTCAAGGGCGGTACCAGCGCTTTCGACTGCCCCAACCCGAGCACACTCACCGGCGACTCGTACACCACAAATGTCGAGATCGAGTGGACTCTCACCAACGAAACGGGCTTCCACGCGGTACTGGGCACAACTTACGGCGTTGAGCCGGGCTGGGTCAAGTTTGCTGAGCAAGATATCACGCCTTACTGCGCGCCGCAGACGGTTCAGGGTCAGCCGATTGACACGTGCCATGCCAAACTCGTCAAGATGTACAACTTCCCCCAACAAGCGGATGATATTACGGTGTCGAACCCCAAGGATCTCTTCACGGAGGCTGGAGCCAACCTCACGGCTTTGCCTACCAGTATCGATGCAACTCTCACAGACCTCATGCTTGGACAGTGGGGCGGTTCGATCAAGGACGTGGTCGATGTCTACACCATGCCTGTTGCCCTTGCATTCCAGGCCGTGAAGGCGATGGAACAAGTCAAATCCATCGGCGAAACGGAGAAGGAAGAGGAACAGAAGAACTTGATCCTTCTCATCGTCACCGTCGTTCTGGCTGTCGTTCCATTCGTCGGCGAGGAGCTCGCTGGAGCAGCTGGCCTAGCAGCGTTGGCCAGAGCCATTGCCATCGCGGGCGAAGCAGGAAATGCCGCATTCGACATCTACAGCATGGTAGATGACCGTTCCAGCATCGGATATACGATCTTCGGTACTCTGTTTGGGGCCGCGGGAATAGCCAGCTCATTCAGAAATGCAGACCATTTCAGCTCTGCAGGAGAGGCACGAAGGGCGATGGGCGAGGCGAAGGTTGCGCAGATGGGAGACACCTTCAAGGGGTATTCGGAGTTGACGCAGAAGATTGTCAAGTCGTGTAAACTCTAGCTTCCCGCCCAGGGGAAACTTTTCTTTGTATTCGCATTCCGCCAGACTTCCTTCCCCATTCGTTCAATAGGTAGTTGTTAAAAAGGGGGTCGTTGCACCTCGGGACCCCATCCATTGATGAATGTCAGGGCTTTGATGCCAAAAATGGGCGATAAAAATTGTGTCAATCGGTCAGATCCACCTGAAGAGTAATACGACGTATTCGGTAAAAATTCGGCGGGCGCAAAGTCGTAGTTAGTTCTGTAGATCATCGTTCGTGTGTATCGTCGTTGGGCGTTCGGAACTGAACAAATATTGTCACGGGGTATTCGAAATACGTCTCGGCAATAGAGTCTTCCTGGAATTCAGTATGCAGAGCTCTCCTACATAGATCATCTCGAAGAAGGATCAGCGGAATGTAGTTAATATTTGAAGACCTCCGTGAAAGACGGCCCTCCGAAATCTTGGCTCCACGCCGAGACCGAGACCGAGAGCGAAGCCCCGGCACCAGTGCGGGTCTCCCCCTTATTAGCGCCGTGTCGTGAAAGCTTAAACACAAAACACAGCCATGTTCCGCAGCATCCAGACCACGTAGATACGGGAAATAAGGAAACGATCACTGTAGAGATGACTCGTTATTCGTCGAAACGTTGGAATTCCGCCGAGATGTTCAGTAACACGGACCATTCGGATTCAACCGCCCCCAACATGGCTTCTCCATATTGAGAGAGAGCCGTCTCTCTTTCCCTTCGTTTCTTTGAGCTCTCTTTCGGACTCGCAAGAAACATTCCTCAATTCATCAACCAACGAGGCTTTTTTGACAAACGGATTTCGTGGCGTTCTCGACGTCCACCATCGCCGCGCAATCATGGCGAAGCTCCCGAGCAGCCAGGTGCGCCGGGTCGATTCTGATAGCTCGGAAGTTAGCTGGTGAGTAAAGAGTAGCGCCTCGCGTAATTCCCCATCATGCCATTCGTTTTTGCACATGCACCCATCTCGATGGAATCCTCCTGCATGCAGCTGCCTAACCGCCGTCCAGGGGCCTGGACTACCTCCAAGAAGAGAAGATTACGCCCCTCACCTGGATCGAGACCCCCGTGATCTCTTCCGATCAGGACACTGGAGAGGTAAAGCTCTTTGTCAGACACAATGCCAACACCATCGAGCTATTTTCCGATCTCTTTTTCGTCGCGAACCTCGAGACGTTTACGCAGACGCACAGCATCACCAACCTGACCAGTCTCGCGGCTTATCTCGGCTTCTTCAGTATCATCTGGTTTACGTGGTTCCAAATCACGCTACACGATGTCAGGTTCTCAATCGACTCCGGCTACGAGCGGATGTGCAAAATTATTCAGTTCTTGCTGTTCGTCGGGTTCGCTTTAGTTGGCTCATCATTTAGTCCCGGTACAAAGGAACATAACAATGCGGTAAGTCTCCCTGCCTTCAAGGACCGACCGTATTTCTGACGATTATACAGAGCTTCCAACTTCTTTGCAACATTCTTTTCGCCACAAGGCTGCTGCTGGTTGCCCAGTACTCTGTCGCATTGCACTTCGTCCGTAAGAAGACGAAAAGCCTAACATGGCCCCTCTCTCTGACCATCACTCTCTTCATCTTCTCTGGTGGAGCCCTCTACTCCATGACCCCCGCGTTTTCCCCGGAGTCAGGCAACGGCTTGGGTATTTACTACGTCTGGTACATCATTCTAGCTATCGAGGCAGCCATTACTCTCGGTATCTCTTCGGTATGGAGGAACATGGGCTTCAAGCATACGCATCTCACGGAGAGAATGGGCTTATTCACCCTCGTCATTATCGGTGAAGGTGCCATTGGAGCAACCAAGACCATCGGCAACCTGATGGGTGACACTGGACTTAGACTAGACGCCTGCCTTGTTGTCGGCTGCATCGTTTTCATCCTGGTGAGAAAGCCCCAACCCCTAGGATGACTCAATCTAACATGTATGAAGATGTTCTGTTGGATGCTTTACTTCGACAACCCTCCCGAATGCAAGTTTGGAACCGTCCGTCAGCAGATCTGGGCCGTGCTCCACTTCCCATTCCATCTCGGCATGATCGGTGTCGTTGAAGGCTCTCAGCAGATTGCGCTTGCATGGCAGGTTCTAAGCCAGTTTGGCAATTTCTTCAACGACCTGCGCAAACACTGCGTCAACCTCAACGAGGATGGAGTTGCACTAACCAACGCAACAATCACCTCATTTCAGAGCCTGACCATGCCGAACAGCCTCGAAGTCCGCGATATGATTCCCTTTGTTTACCAGGAGATCTACAACATCGGCAACATGACTGGGGTATGCTCGGCCGCAAACACGACCAATGGCGATGATTTCTTCCTACCCCCGCCTTACAAAGCGCTCACCCAAAAGGTGATCGGAACGCTGTTCGAGTCCTACAACGGGCTGAGCTCAAGTGGGGAGAGCGATCCCGGCGAAATCGCCCAGCCAGCGTTTACGACGGTGTACATCTACTACTGGGCATCGTTCCTGTTTGTGGTCGTCTTCTTTGCTATCTTCATCCTCATCACTAGACATAAGGATCGTCCCCTCAACATTTTCGACAAGGCGGCTGTGGCGAGCCGAGGACTTGCCGCATTACTCGCCGTCGGACTGGCAGCTGGAGCGGCATCAGAAGAATTCATCTTCAAGTACCTCAAGAGTGCGGCAACACTCCCTACTGTTGCCTTGATTTTCCTTGTTATTCTCGCCATCGATAGAACGACCAAGCATCTGAGTGCGAAGACCCTGAGGCGAAACTTGACAGGGTTGAGCGATTTTGAGAGTTTATCTTCTGAACCTGCGATGGAGTTGTCGCAAGGACGGGGCGTGTTGGTGGACCAGAAGGTCGACACGAAGACGTAGTCTGTCCGCTCCAGTATTGTGTTCTCTTTGTCATGGACTGGGATTTGGGATACAGGAGTGAGCGTTTAACTGATTTGAAGAAAGGAACTTCACTGGAAGTGATGGGAAACGGCCGCGATTCGTACGCTAGCGAATGCAAAGAGCTAATGGGCACATTACGGGAGCCTAAAATTCCCTTTGTACAATACATACCACTATCAGGTGGGCAGGCTCCCATCGAAATACTTGATGCTTCTAGAAAATCCAAAACATGTTGCCTGATCGCGCCGAATCTGAGGGCAAACCAACCCCTCCGCTTCATTCCGCCCCAAGCGCTGGAGACCAACAGACCCTCTTTGGCCGGCTATGGCGGCATCGTTTCTGCATCCGCAGGAGAGGTTCCCGTTGCCGGCGCGGGGCTATTATGGCGGATGAGTGCTGCCTGCGGGCTCTGTGTGCAGGGTTTACTAGCTCGTGTCGGGGAAGCCTGGAAATGCAGCCGTGGACAGGGTTTAGTGCGAAGTCGGTGCTTTCCGAAGCCTAACCAACAGCTCCAACCGCCGTGTTCAATGACAAGATTGATGGAGTTCCAACCGATGTTGGAACCAACAACATTTTACAGGGCATGCATAAGGCACCTTCCTATCTTGCACCTTTCGGTAACCCGGCTGCTCCGTGAAATCGTCTGCCTGAAATGAGGAGAATTGGTGTTGCCTGAGAGTTAAACGGTGGAGTATTATAAGATCGCCAAGACCATCCTTCCCGAACCAAGCTCACATCATCTTCACCACCTCAGTTGTTGACCTCTTAAATTTGAATTGAGGTCTCATCATGGCCTCTGCTAAGTCCCACCCCCCGCCTCAGCTGCCCCCACTATTCACCGCAACGCCGATTTCCATCCTTGAATCTATCAACGGACTTATTGAGGCTTCAAAGCAATCCCACAAGCACCTCGTCAACACTACATCGCCCTCCTCCGCAACTTTTGCCAACACCCTACTGCCCCTCGCTCATGCCGAAAATGCCCTGTCTTCAGAAGCAAACCTGCTGATATTCCTCAGAGATGTGTCTCCCGACAAAGAAGTTCGCGATGCTGCGGCCCAAGCACGGACAATCCTTCGGGATTACCAATTGGAGGCATCAATGAATGAGGACGTCTTCAAGCTCGTCGATGCTGTCTTCGTTAGCACAGACCAGGAATCCCTCGACCCGGAGTCTCGCAACTTCTTGAACAAAAAACACAAAGAATTTGTCAAGAACGGCCTTCGGATCCCAGCTGGTAATCAACGTGAGCGTTTTAAGGAGATTCGTAGTCGCATCGAAGCTCTCACATCCAAGTACTCGAAGAATCTTGCTGAAGATAAGACAGCAATCTATGTTGCCCCCGATGAGCTTGAAGGCTTCCCGGAAGACACCCTGTCTGAACTTGAAAAGGGACAGACGGGCACCGAAAACGAGGGGAAGCTCAAGATTGAAATACCCATGGACCTGAGCTCCGTTCTCAGAATGGTGAAGAACCCGACTACTCGTCAGAAGGCAAGACTGGCATACGACAGTCGCTGTCCAGAGAATGTTGCCATCTTCAAGGAAGTCGTGCAACTCCGTCACGAAGCAGCACTTTTGCTGGGTTACCCGAACCATGCGGCGCTGAGCGTGGAGGACAAGATGGCAGAAACACCGGATAGAGTGAACTCCTTCTTGAGCTCTCTCCGCTCGAAGTTGACTGAGGCTGCGAATAAGGACGTTGAGACCCTACTCCGACTTAAGAAGGCCGATGTCGAGGCGAGAGGTGAAGGGTTTGATGGGCACTACTTCACTTGGGACAATCCATACTACGACAACATGCTCTTACAACAAGATTATGCAGTGGATCAGGCCAAGATCTCTCAGTATTTCCCACTACAGTCGAGTGTGAATGTGATGCTGGGGATCTTCGAGCAGCTGTTCGGTATGGTGTTTCATGAGATATTGGACAAGGAGAGAGCTTCACTTTCTTCCAGTGGGAAAGGAGATGATCTAGTCTGGCACTCCGACGTACAGATTTTCTCCGTCTGGGACAAAGATGAAGAAGGCGCTGGGTTCCTAGGATACCTCTATTTGGACCTCTACAGCCGGGAGGGGAAGTATTCAAACCCATCCAACTTCAACGTCGTACCTGTAAGGTTTCTTCTTTTCTGTATCCTGTAAACTTGCACTAACACTTTCAGGGGTATTGCGAAGAGGATGAAACCAAACACTACCCATCTACAGCCCTGGTCTGCGACTTCCAACGCCCAAGCGCGTCAAAGCCCACTCTGCTCCGCCATCCAGACGTTGTTATTCTCTTCCACGAGCTAGGTCACGGCATTCACGACCTCGTTTCCCGCACGAAATTCGCACGTTTCCACGGGCCAATGGGTACAGTTGTTGACTTTGGCGAGGCGCCGAGCCAAGTCCTCGAGAACTGGTGCTGGACACCCGAGCAAATCATCTCCCTTAGTAACCACTACTCATATTTATCTGACGAGTACTTCAGTAACTGGAAGTCGAAGACAGGGAAGACCGAAGATATGTTGCAGCCACCGAAAAGTTTGCCTCGAGAAATGGTTCAGAGTCTCCTGAAGGCGAAGCATGCGAACACGGCTCTGGACACTTTGCATCAGCTCTTCATCGGAACTTTCGATATGGCTGTCCATCATCTTGACGATCGCGATGAGAATCAAACTTTCACAGCGTTGTGGAATCGCCTTCGACGGGAGATCGTCCCGACCGAGGACCTTTCCGCCTTGGGTGCCGGCGATGAGTGGGGGCATGGATACACCAACATCGGCCACTTGATGAACGAGTATGACGCTGGGTTCTACAGCTACCTGTTGTAAGTGATTTGGAGATGCAGTTTTGAATCAATCTGATCCGTCGTTTAGCTCAAAAGTTTATGCGCAAGACATCTTCTCGACCGTGTTCAAAAGCGATCCCATGAGTGTGGAAGCGGGTCGAAAGTATCGATACGGGGTGTTAGAGAAGGGTGGCAGCCAGCCGGAGATGACTACTTTGCAAGAGTTTCTTGGTAGGGAGGCGAAGATGGAGGCCTTCTACGAAGACTTGGGTCTTGAATTGTGATAGAATTGGTTGAACTGTAAGGGGGCAGCTATTGAATTACTACTATGCTTTGATGATTAATTACATCAAGGCCATATTGAGGCTTTCATACAGCGAGTTTCGTTCAAGAATGGTTCCATCTCGCTATCCGCCAGCAGCCACTTCAGCCGTCGAGGTACCGATTGAAGCTGGCTGTGGGCCAAGGAGCCCAGCCCTCTTCAAGCTTTCATCGTCCTCTCCAGCTTCGACCCTCCGAAGAAGGTCCTCGGGATCGAATCTCACTGCTTTGATTTTGGTCGGGTCTATCGCCTTCATGTGTCTCTCAACATCGTCGGGGTCACTGTAGGCCTCGATATGTGCTTCAATGTTGTTTCCGTCAGGGTCCGTATAGTACAAGCTTGTTGTCACGCCGTGGTTAAGACAGAAATTTGTCGTGATAGCTGCCTCTTTTGCATGACGATACACTTGCGCAAGGTCTTTGGCCGAAGCAAACTTAAGAGCGATGTGATCCACTCCGCTCGCCTTGGTCTGCTTTGGGACGGCCGTGTCGTCGTGGATTATGGCGAGACGGTGATGCTCTTCATCCCAGGTGAGAACGGAGATGAAGTCGTTGGTGAGAACCACTCTTGCACCTAGAAGGATTTGGTAAAAAGAAACCAATTTATCCGGGTTTCTCGTTCGCAAGCCAATGTGGGCGATTGCCGTTGGAGCAGGAACGGGATCCCGAGGCATATTTCCGGTGCGACGTGTAACACTAACGAAAGAAATTTTACAAGTATGAGTCGAGTCTTTCTTCTTGTTTGTTGATGGACACCGACTGCGACCAAGAGCACGTCGGCGAGGGATAATATAGTCGAAGCAACTCTCTCTTGTATCGTCGTGACATGCATGTGACATACAGCGATAACTCCGCAATCATCTTGATCCATGGATCACTGACAAATATGAGTCCGCATGTGTAACTACTTATGTGAGGGGGGGTGGAAAGGGTCAAAGAGCTGACAACGTGATCTGAATGTCTGCTCCTAACGCGGTAAACTTTCCGATCTCCGCAAACCTCCGCCGACCACTCCGATACATAACTGCTTACCCGTTAGCTCAACGTGTTAGATGAATCTCAACTTACATTTTTCTCGAATAAATGATTCTAATAGAGAGAAGATCTGTTCCAGGCTAACAATGCCTGCCATTCTAATGCAAACTCCTATCTTTCCGTGCCCTATATACCGTAATGAATGAACGGTACCCAGAGAAGAGGCATGCGCAGATCCTTAGCCCGCTCTTGCATCACCGCCTCTTTCAAAGTCTTGCTACATCATCACCTTGCCATTCATTCCCATGAGGCCTGAAAGGCTCCGTATAAGAGGCCTCCGCAACCGAGATGCACGCGCGGTTCCTTGACTGACAACGGCTGAGCGAGGGCAGTGCTGTGAGTGCAAGTGACTTAGCAAATAACATCCCATCGCTACGTGAAGTGGCTTGGTTAATCCACCCGGTGATTTTTGCGCGGGCACAGGCGCCCTACTTACGTGAAGGGGGGTTTAAAAGAACTCCGAGAATCCCCGGGTAGCTACGAGCGCAGGGCACGCCTGGCTGTAAAGTCGTGTGGCCGAGCCCTTACGTAAAGACGGGATTCGGGCCCGGGGCTGAGTTCCGTCTCGCAACTGCACAAGGGCCTACTCGTCCAAATTCGCGGTATTTGACTACATGCTGGAGCCCCGGCTTTCCCCGCCGATGTACCGACGTCACGCAGCAATTGATGGAATACGTCGTACTCCAGCGGCGATCACAGCTCTTACTAGTCCCTTCATCCAATGTAACGCTAAAATGTTATTGAAGGTCAAGAACACAGCCTCAGCTTTGGGAATTTACGAGTCTAATGCTATGGACTCTTGCCAATACCGTCGTCTCGATATTAAGCAAAACCTGACCAGCTGCCTCCAAAGCCCGAAAAAGACTCACAACCGAAATCCCGAATAGAACGGAGCAGACCAAAAAAGGGGCCAGTATGGGGTTCCAATAAGAATGCGGACGAGAGCGATGGCAATACCAAGGGTAAATAGAGAGCCAGTGGAGGTCACGACGGAGCTCTGGAGGAGGGAACACACCGGTGACCTCATTCTTGGGGCATGGAAGCTAGGTAGATAAACATAAATATACCGGACAAAGGTCTTCTTGTGAAAGACTTCTCTCCACACTTTCACAGACATCTTTCATAATCGTGTAAACATGGCTCACTCCAACATTTCATTCATTCGTTTCTTTGCCCTTCTTCTCGGACTTCCAGCATGCTCAGCGGCTGTGGCGCCAACCGGGTGCTCCAAGCTCCATGCCGACGATGACTGGCCTGCGGTTGAAGAGTGGCAAGCAAAGCTGCCTGGCATCATCAAGCAGAACCTCAGCGACGCCAATGGACTGCTTCCCGACTACCGCATCCGCGCTAAGAGCTACTCTGAGGTTCAAGACGCCATCAGGTTCGCTGCCTCGAACAACATTCGCCTTACTGTCATTACGACCGAACACGACGAACTCGGCCGCAGTGACGCCGGTTCCGGGCTCATCATCGATCTGTCACTTCTTCGAGGCGCCAGAGTGTCGAATTCGTTCACTGCTACCAAGGAAGGCGTTGCCAGTATTGCTTCCGATGAGGAATTGAAGACGATCCAACCCGAGAGCGGTTCTCAGGCGGCGGTCACGTTTAATCCGGCTGTAGGAAGCCTGGCCATGAACTACGGTCTTGACGCATCTGGCTTGTTCATTGTTGGCGGCACCGCTGTATGAAACCCCAATCTTCCCATAACCTAGAACTTGACAGGACTAACCTGAAATAGCAAGGAGTAGCTATCGGAGGTGGCTGGGGCCAAAATGGAGGATACGGCCCGCTCACTGCACAGTACGGTATCGGTGTAGACCAGTGGCTCGAAGCTAAGGTAGTCACACCGGACGGCGAACTTCGAGTGGCTAATGAGGTGTCCAACCCCGATCTCTTCTGGGCCATCAGAGACGGCGGGGGTGGCACGTTCGGTGTCGTCGTCGAAGCAACGTGGAAGGCGTATCCCACTGTCCCCATTCTCGGCTTTCATTGGTACATCAACTCCACCCTCGTGGTCAACGAAACCGACGCAGAGAACGGCAAGACTCCTACCAGCGAAGCTCTTGCATACCTGTTCTCAGAGCTACCGGAACTCCAGAAGAAGGGTATCTCTGCGTATTTCTACGTTTTGAACGACAACATCAGGTGCCACGCCATCCATCCGGGCTCATTGGCAAACGCTGAGGCTGCGAACAAAATCTGGGGCCCGATCCTCGAGAAGATACAATCTTTCGAGGGGATGACTCCTTTTCAGAGCAAGCATTTCCATTTCAACAGCTACAAGGAGTTCTTCCGGGAGACCTACGGGGAGCTTGAGGCTTTCAACTCTACCGACCCACCTCGCAACCATGGCATCGTCCCCTTCGACAGCCGTCTCTTGAGCGAGGAGCACCTTAAGAACCCCAATCTTACCTACGCCCTCCGAAAGACTGGGGGAAACTTCGGCGTCCTGATGACCACACCAGGCATGGCCGTCGGTGACGGATCAAATACCGCCGTCAACCCCGGCTGGAGGAATGCCACTGTCTTTCTGAACGGATTCAAGTCCAATACTACCAACGTCGATGGACTCCGCGAGTTGGCACCCGACATAGGCACTTATATCTGCGAAATCTGTCAATCGCATCCTCTTGAATTGAACTACGCTCACAGCGAACTAGGCCAGTGCCGATGAGCCCGACTGGTCGGCTTCCTTCTGGGGCTCAAACTACCCCCGCCTCTCTGCCCTGAAGTCCGAGCTGGACCCAAGCATGGTCTTCTGGACGACCCCTGGCATCAACGCTGACCATGTCAAAGCCGTCGATGGCCGAGCCTGCCTTGTCGACGCTAAGCCAGAGACGCCTTCGAAGTACCCGCCGCAGAATGAGAGGCGTGTCGTCGCTGACATCCAAAATGACCGCGAATTCCTGTTCAGCGTGCAGGAAATCAACGGAAACCAATTCCCAGCTCCTGGAACTTTTGTTGGCTTGCAACCCGCTTGAATGATGATCCTTTGCATGGGCAATTCTTTCCGTTAATCGGCATGATGGCTCATCCCAATTCAATTAGATAGAAAGGGGCTACTAGACCTGAAGGGTTGTTCATTAAAGCGTTATCTCACGCAGCTTTGTTAACAATACATGGAGAAACAATCAACGTCCACTTAATATCCTTGGTATCACTGATCACTGTTATACATCCCAAGCGGGGGGGGCAGGTAATTTAATATGGGACATCTACAGCATTCCGAACTTGAATCGTTGAAGAAGCACCGGAAGAACTAGTACCTGGACTTGCTTAACCAAGATGATTCGGACGCAATACTACGACAGTTTCCAAGATGATTTTGCGTCAGGGCGTTACTACTAATTATGGAATCGTTTCGATTTGAACCTGGGTGAGCCCGCTATGTTTGGAGGGTCTCGGGGGTCAAAGGGTTAGATATCGTCACCCACCTTCAACCAGGAACAAGAGCAAAAACAAAAACTACATACAACACCGGGCATTCGCCGGTCGTCACCGACCCGACTACTACTCCAGCCCTCACTGGTTTATCGATGGGAGAGCGGACGGGATCCCGAGCTTTCCAATGGGTATGGTCGTATGTGACAGAACCTCCCTCTCGTTGAGAATAAGATGGACCGGCACCACACCTAACATCACATAAAGACTAACAGTTACGAAATTTGAAGTGGCCTCGATTAAGCCTACCATTTGACAATATGCCTCTTACCTTATGTTTTGACATACATACTACCTACATAGGCAGTTTACATAGGCCTAATGCTTAGGCGTCATGCTCCGCAGCCTTGTCAACGACACACGTTGAGACGATCAACGTCCACTCAACGTCCCAGCCATCGCCATTGTACTTTTCCTCCAAATGCTTCTCCACCAAACCCCGTACTTCACTCACAGGATGCGCTGTTCGCGTCTCCTCATCCCACCATGACGCCAAAAACCAACCAAGCATCACCCCAAAAGTGGCAACGAAGTCCTGGGCGCTCTTCACGTGGTGCTTTCTGGCGACAACTTTCACCACGAGGTCCCGAAAGCCTTGGCTTTTGAGATGCTCCTCGACCCACAAGGGGTTTGTCCAAACCCCCTGGTCATGGAGCTGCATGGGTACTTCGTCTGGGAAGGGGCCTGTGAAAGGGAATGAGGCGAAGGCGGAGCGCATGTCTGGGACCCAGAAGATGTTGTTGCGGTGGAAGGTTGTGGCGCCAAGTATGCCTCCTGGCTTGAGAAGGCGCTTGCAGTCTGCGGTAACTTGTGTTAGACTGAAGTCGGGACTAGGTAGTGGCGTGCGGACTAACCATTCAAAACAGCGTCTGGATCTGGTATCATGTGAAGGCTCATGCCGAGTCCGATATGCGTGAAAGTGTCATCAGGAAGAGAAGTGTTCTGCGCAATCATCAGCATGCGTCGCCGAAGCCTTTACAGGTGAGAAATAATACCATTGAATCCAAGGTCGTAACTTTTGTGTTGGTCCAACCTTCGTCGGTGACCCTTTTCTTCACCATGTCGACCATGTTCTGAGCCTTGTCCGCGCACAGAAAAGAGCTCTTCTGGATGATCTCATTGGTCAACATTGACTGCAGCTCTTGAGTTAAAACACCGGTGCCGCATGCGTTGTCGAAGAAATCCACCGGTTGAGATGTGATGTTCGTGATACCCATCTGAGTCAGCAATGGCGACGCCATCTTGGCTAGCATCCCACGAGAGGTGGCAATCATGTCCCGGTCTGAGTTAGACATTTCGCTAGTGTGATGAGCAATAGGATAAACAACGCCGCGACTTATTGAAGATTTGATCATCAGATTTGCCCTCTGTTTGAGTTGCTGGAAGTGACGAATATGTAGGTGTGAAAAGTGTCCGAGAAGTGCCCGACTGCGAGCTGTCCCAACCGGCTATGCAAGGCAGTCATGATGAGCAAGTTTGCGCAACTCTGACCTCAGGATGAGTGAGTTTGCGCCCTTTGACGAGAAAAGCTTTTTGAACATGTTAATTTGTATTATTTCTTGATACAAACATTGAAAGAACTGTGTCATCCAGTCATTAGAATAATCGTCCAACCATCTACACCCTATCATACCCGCCGTGACCACCCCCGAAACCGATCATGAACATTATAACTTTAGTCTAATTAACAGGCCGGGGAGGTAGGTGCAGTAGTGAAATATGTCTTGTAGTAGACGTTATCGCCAATATTCTTCGCAACACTTGGTGGCGTGTTGAGTGGGCCGCCCTTATTTTTGGAATTGGGGTACAGAAATGAGGGGTCGTTGGGAGACAAGACACTGAGAGGGCATCCGAGAACAGTGTTGCTGAAGTAGGGATCCAGCTTAGCGATGGCCCAGGTGGTGGCAGCGGCGACCTGCTCCTCGCTACCGGCGACGAAGAGAGGGACGACAGAGTTCATGCCCTGGTACAGGTCGCAAAGAACCGTCGTGGCGTTGAGGTTGGCAGTACCGAGCTGAGCAACGCCGGGAACAACGGGGTTGCGGATGTAGATGTCAAGAAGGCCCTCGAGGACAGTCTGGACTGCGCCATAGGGAGTGGCACGACGATACCAGTTCTTGGGCCAAGTCTCAGGGACGTACTGGAACTCGCCGGTCTTGTCGTCGTATTTGGCGCCGATGATGGAAGAGATGGACTCATAGTTGGCGACGCCGCCGGCTCCGTATGTTCCGTTGCTCATGAACTGGGACAAGTCAGCATCCAGGGTTACGGCGGGGTTTGTTATGAGGGGGTGGAGGGGTTACCTGAGGGTAGAATGCGAAAGCACCGAGCGAGACGATCAAGGGGAAGGGGAAGTAGTAGAGGTATGGGTTGTACTTCTGAGAGAACATGGAGTTCTTTTGGTACTGTGTGCCCATGTTGGTGAGGTCGAACTGTTTGCTTGCGCTGCTGGCAACAATATCGACGTTCTGCTTGAACATGCGGGATGAGACGTGGTGGTTGTCACCGCATCCGTTGTAGAAATCCTCACGGTTGACCGAAATGTCGGCCTTCAGTATTTAGTTAGATTATGCTGACCGAAGGCGGGACATCGCTTAGACTTACCTCAACAGTAGAATGGCGGTTGAGACCACCAACACCACCTGGTCCAGCACCCAGGTAGAAAGACTCGGTGGCGATGTCGCCGTCCGCTAGGACAGCGAAGACGCCAAGGATAGTTGAGAGATCGGCGCCCATGTTGAAGCCACGAGCAGTCGCCTCAATGACCTGGCCAAGAGTAACGTGACCATTACGGGGGAGGTAGCCGTGGTTGGCGAGCAGGTTGAGACCTGGGCAAGGTCCTCTGCTGTCGCCGGGACCAGGGGCTTTGAATTCGAAGCCCTTTTCCGGGCGAGCATTCGCAGGATTGATGTTCTGGGCAACTGCACCGAGAAGTCCGGTGATGGTACCAGTAAGACCCCCGATCACGCCTCCAAGAAGCTGAGGTTCGGGGTTGGCAACGGGCTCAGGATTGCGCTTGAGGAGCTCCTCAAGTTGTTGTCTGGATCCCATCATAGAGGGGAAAGCTGTCGCTGATGTGGCCAATGTGGCCAGGATGGTGGTTTGGTACTTCATCTTGACGGTTGAGGGTGAGTACGGTTGACTAGTGTTCACAGTTGAGGCAAGATATTGACGCTGTCGTATCTCTTTTCGAATAAGTTGTGCAGGAGAAGACTTGGAATCTTATATACCATTCTTGAATCATCAAACTAAGCATTGCTTTTGCTTTGGTGATAACATCTTACACGACCTAAACATACCGGACCCCAAGCATGAGGTCAGTGGCCAATTCCCCGAGTCGCTACTATTCCCGCCAACACCACTATTTCCTCTCCTCAAGAGCTTGAACCGCTTGGCACGATGATGCGCAAAGGTCAACGTGCCCCTTCCAAGCCGAGACGGTCTCACTACAGAAGTTCAACTATCAATTGCACCAGCCGAATCTATCGTGATCTCTGCAGATCCCCATCTCGGGAGGGTAAAGCGTGATGGAAATGAGCCGGGCCAATAAGCACACCCGTAAACGCAAGTAGCGCACCACCCAAGACTGGACAACTCAACGATAAACGAGTCGCGGGCGCAGATAAAAGTGCGACAACAGACGGGAAGCAAACGTGCCGAAGTGCTAGCGCCTCGCTATGTGGACCGCGGACCTGGCGTAGTTCATGGCGGGCTGACTAGCGGCGGCGCCTGGCAGCAAAACCCCGGAATGTTTCTCCACCGGTGCAACGTCGGGCAGACTAGTGAGTCCCTTAGGAACACCAGAATCGGAAACGGCCTAAGAGAATGACATAGGGTCAGCGTCACCGGGGGCTGGTTGGTTGCGCCGAGACTCGACGGAGCAGAGTCCGGGGGAGGGAGGAGGCAGTGCGACAAAGTGGGTAAACATTGAGCGTCTGTTCTGGGAAGCGCGGGCCCGCGCGTGTTGACCATGTCTAAGACTCGAGGATGACGTTCTATATTTGAAATCGGATTCTAGGGAGCTCTGATTGGAAGCCATGCGGTGTTGCTCGTTCCACGTCTAAGACACGGAGAAGACCCGAATATGGCCGTCTACGCTTGGCCGCTTCGGGACGGCTACAACACATATGGCATCTTCGATTTATCTAGAAGCCTGAGCAAATGCTTAATGACACGTCAAGACCGTGCTGAATTAAGATTAAAGCCGGTTGCTATGTGGTGATACATTGGATGATGAGGACGACAGCAAGAACTCGTGCGTTCACGATAGAAGGGTGGACACTTCGATTCCACCACCAAAATGCTCGTGAGAACATAGAACAGCGATTGCTTGGCGGTCTTTGTTCGCCGCGGAAAGTTTGCCACGAAGTCTGTTGAAGCATCTTGGCCGTAGAGCATAGGTGGCGTTTTGCCCGGCTGGCAACAAAGCCATCTAACTGCCCATGAAGCTTACTTGCCTTAGCTTAACGGCGATGGCAATAGCGTTTTCTGGCGTGCGATTATTTCCTATTCCCCGAACCGACCTGTCGACGTTCAGTTG